TTCAAAAAAAAAAAAATTTGGATCAGTTAACCCAGAAATTTAGAGGATAGAGCATAAGCAGCCACAGGCACAGCTGAACATACCTGAGGCCTGTCAACTTCGGGCAGAAGAGAAATCCACTTCAGAGTCACGGCCCTCGGCTGAAGGGCCAGAGCACAGCCTCCAGGGAACAGCCTCCAGGGAACAAGTGGGACGAGCGGGCCCCTCATGCAGGTGAGGACAGTCTCTGCAGGGGAGGGCAGCCGGCCACCTGAACACGAACCAGGGCAGGCTGCAGATCTCTCAGCCTGGCTCCCTGCACTTCTGACCCATCAAGAAATACTTGGATGACTCAAATGGGCAAGTTATTAAAAAAAAACAACCCCCCCCCAATAATGAATAATTGACCAGAATTCTTCCAATCCTACTTTGACTCTAAAAAACTGGGTTGGGGGCAAGAAGAAAGTAACCTGGAGACCTCTTCAGTCATCCTTGGAATCGACTGGGTGAGAGACACCTAGAGATGTCACTACAGAGGCCTCCGTTCAGCTGAGCCTGTGCAATCTGGCCAACCAAAGTTAAACACATTTGCTGCCTTTCACGGTCCCGAATTCTCATATTTTCCCAATTGGTACCAGAATGACAAGCAGGTGCAAATGAATGAATGAAACCCTTTTGTGTGGGGTATTTCCCTGGAGAGAAGGAAAGATGCCTAGAAATAAAGTGAGTGCTCCCTTAACCACCTGCTAATAATAGCGAGCAGCCCGAACCAGCCATTAGGATAAGGAAAAGAAACGGAAGATCCCCAAGGCTCACTGATTCAAAGAGGTTTTAATTTTAGTACTGTGTCAAGATGCAGTGAAAACGCTAGTCCCTGGTGACAGCAGCGCTTCTGTGTAATGCTCAGTCCTCCCCCTGGTAACGGTTACCCTGCAGGAAGGCCTCCTGTCGACTGAGTGGGGTTTAGAATTCCAGAGAGAAGGCCCGCCTCTCAGGACAGAAGCAGCGGTGTTTTTCAGTTTTTCAAACAGGAGTCCAGCCTCCTGCAGGCAGCTGGTGCAGAGAGCAGCTGTGATATGGAGGCCCAGCGAGGGTCAAGCGGTATCCCCAAACACCTTCCCCATCTCCCAGGCAGCCAGCTCAGCCCAGGCCAGGCTGCACCTTTGCTCATCCCTAGGGACCCAGACCAGTCAGCAGCAACAGGGCTGGCCTGCTTCCAGAGTCTGGTTCTGCAAGGCCTGGCAGGATGCTGAGCCTGGGGAAGGCGGAGGGGGTGAGCCTGGGCCAGAACCACCTTCTCAGAGAAGCCCCCATCAGGCCTTCAAAGGCCCGTGGGGGCAGAATAGCTGAGCCAGCGGCCTGCCTTTCTTTTCTAGAGTGAAACTAGTTTCCCTGTACAGTGAAGTGGGCCTGTTCTCCAGGAAACACTCATGGTTGTATCACAAAATTCTATTCTTGGAAGCAGCTATCCCTTCAGGGCTTGGTGACAGGAAAAGGAAAACAGCTCCAAACAAGATGCCCCTTGTACAAATTACACTGACAGAATCCACCTGCTCCACATCCAGGGCTGACTTCAAACCTCCCTCCCAGGCCAGGGAGACAGCCACAGCTCGTGGCCTGTGGCCCAAATGCCCTCCAGACCCTCCCCAACACAAAGGTAGCAGCTTTTGTATTAAAAGAAAAAGCAAGACGTCCTGCACCAAACCCTAGAGAAAGAGTTAAGCCTGTGGATGGAAAGAACCGTGTCCTGAGCATTTAAAAAAAGCTAACGTGGAAAACAAGGCCTCAAGAAAGGAACTTAAGAAAGGAATTTACATAATACAGGAAAACCACCTGCAAATAATGGACAGAAACCGGGCAAGCAACCACTTGCTGTGGCTGCACCCTGCCCTCGCCCCAAAGAGCCACAGCAGGTCCCATCGGAAGGTCAATCCTATCTTCATAGCAGCACATTTGAATAATTTATATTATTCTTATTAAATAATATTGCTTCTAGGCAGAGGTATCACGAAGGCGGCTTGTGAGAGGCCGTGGGAGATCTTCACTGCAGCCAAGACTGGCGGGGTCGTCCGGGGGTCTCGCGCCATCCTGCCCACCGGCCTGTGGTGGCCACGCTGTATGACGTGGACAAAGCTTCGGCTTAGCGATCCTGGGCTGTCGTCTAGTCTCACAGTCCTTTTTTGGTAACATCCTGGAGCAAGCAGTGCACTATTTATTTAGCACTGCAACGAGGGGCAGGCATCGGTAATGGGGACTCTGGGCCCTTCTTTCAGGGGAGCTATGCTCTCCAGAGGGGCAAGGAGGGGCAGCGGCTGGAGCCTGGAAGGAACCCTGAGACTGCAATGTCCCTCATCCCAGAGGAAGTCATGCAAGTGCAAAGCAGAATTTGAGGCTTTTAAAGAAAAACAGCTCCTTCAGGCCCCCCAACTGGTTTCTCCACTCAAAAAGCACTGGGAAAAAATCCTTTCTTAACACTTTCTCACATTCAACTAAGTTTCTGTGTTTTCAAATGAGGTCTGTTTGTCTCTATAAAGTAAGAAATTGACTCCAAAGCCAAAGAGCAGCTTTCTCCCCCTGAACTCTGAGTTGCTGAGGGATTTCTGTCTACAGCGAGAGATCGTCAAACACAGCTCCCCCAGAATGTTCCAGGGAGATATTGTTTTAGAGGATATAAGAGCCCTTGTTGAATGATGCCCTTGATCCCAAACCAGTCTTTCACCAGGCCCAGCAAGATACTGAAGAAGGACATAGGAGTCAGGGGGCTGAGATCTGGCCTGGCTGGGGCCTTTGGGCCCAGACAGTCTGGATAGGCAGGGAGGCTATAGCCAAGCTCCACGAAGTCCAATTCCTCCCTCATTTAGCAATTCAGAAACCCACTTCCACTTTTTTTTTTTTTTTTCCATTTGGCTTGGTTCTTAAGTAGAGAAGGAAAACAAAACACAAATAAATAGCAAATCCCAAAGATGAACAAACGAGACCCCCAGAGGAAAACGCAACCGTGGCCATGAGCGCCTGCACTTGGTTCCGGTCTCTGTCTTCACAGCACCAGCCTCACCCTCTCCATGCTGCAAGCCTAGACCAGACCAGAGTAGAGGAGCACTTCTAAAATGAGTGCGTCTGAGGGGACGGCAGCCTGGGTCGAGGGAGCCACTCTGGTACAGAACTACCTTCATACAGGGATTTAAGTTGTATAATCTTTATAGGTTTAAGAATAGTCTAAGTCCTTCAAAGGTGCTGCATTAGCTGCCCTCAACAAAGGCCAGTGTCATCTAAGAGCTTCAGCAGAGAGCTGATGACCCATACTTACTGGCCCCCTGGGGCATCAGAAGCCCCGCCAGCTCTGTCAGTGCAGTTGAAAAGTGCCACCAAGTCACCTCAGCCCTGGCAGCCAGCAAGCTCCTGGGCACAACTCCACTCACATTCAACGTTTCTTGGGAAATGCTCAACTGTTTAAAAACAAGTATCTCTGTGACCTTCTTCCTCTGCAGAGTATATTTCTGTATTTGGTGCTGGAGAGTCTGATGATCTGTCCAGGAGGCAGGTAGAGAAATGGATGCTCTGTGGGAGGATCAGGGAGCTGATGGAGGGGAACAGCTGTGGCAACAGGGCTTATGCCCTGCGTTAGAACCAGGCAGGAAACCAGACCTTCCCAGAGCTACCACCTGCTAATCTCTTCATGAAGACCACACTAGAGGCCAAACCCCAGGGGACCAAAGAGAAGGTTCTCAGACACCTGAGGCTGAATGACACTCCTGAGGCTGAATTTTCACTCCTGACCTGGGGTCAGCTACCCTCTGCAATCTATACTTGCAGCGTTTACAGGACCCCCAGACTGTAAGGCCACTGTTCTGGTAGTTTCTGGCCTAGTGTTCTTGCTTCCATGGAGACTGTCTGTGGTCAGCTCTGAGGGGACTGGGTGATCTGGCTACTATGTGCATCTCCCTGGGTACAGCTCATTCCTGGGCCTCTGGCTACCAATCTCAGGATAAGTTCTGGCACAAGCTGGGAAAGCTGCCCAGTCACGGGACCAAAACCCATCAAGAAGCTGACTGTAAACCCAGAGTGGTAGTCCCTCAAGGCCCAGCTCTCCACACCCTGCCTGCTTAATCTGAGCTTCCCCACAAGTCCCTCCTCAGTCCCCGAAGCAGCTCTCCGCTGGGAAGAATGCCACCCCATCAATGTTTGTCCTCTGCTTCCAGTTCCATTCACCCACATCTTCCACTCCCTTCTGCTTGGATCACTGCCAGAATAAACAGCAGGACCATCACTGAGAACACACAGAAACCAAAACATCTCCAGGAAAGCAAAGGGTCAGATCAGACAGATTGGTACTGGCTTTCCCTAGGCGGTGGGGATGGTCCACAGCACACACACCGCCCCCCCCCACCCCCCCAACCCCGGCCCGGAGGAGACCACACACAGCCCTGGGGAGGAAGGGAGGCAGGCAAGTAGCTCTGACAGGCCAGTTTCAGACCCTCAGAGGCAGAACCCTTGCGAGGAGACTCACGGTCAGCTGCATGTGCCACCTCAGCACCACTCCCACGCTCACTCCCAGCCATGCACACACCAGACACATCGCAAAGAAACGGTTATAGAAAATAACAGAAAGTAAATGTGGAACCGAGCGTGACCTCTCATTGCCGACGGTGGCTGATGATGCCCGGAACGGCAGGCCAGTCTATTGTCATCCAGGCCCATTTTCTCTGAAACTTCCCCCAAGGCAACAGGTATAGACTTCCAGAAAAGAGCTTATTTCCCATTGAAAGTTCAGTGCCATAGAAACGACAGGTGTGGGGCTTAGGGAACACCGGAATAGGAACGTCCCCGTGCAGGTAGGAGGAATGCCAGTGGACGTTCCGCTCTGGCCCGCAGTGATAGATGACAGTGGCATGGGGACAACTGTGGCGGTCAGATGGCTCACCATGCACCCCTGCTCTTCAAGCTCCGGCTAGAGCCAGGTCCCTCTGCACGTGAGCCAGTCAGGCCTGGATTGTCTCAGACCTCACTTCCAGGCCCCCCCCCCCCCCCCCCGGTTTTGAGCTAGTGCTGTTGGCCAGGGTGGTCTTGCAGCCTGTGCCCTTCCCCTCAGATTTTACCGAGACTGAGGTTCCCTCGGGTTGAGGAAGCAGCTTTGCTGGTAAGAGGCTAAAACCATTGTCTCTATGACTCTCGAGCTCCATGCAGCTTGCTGTTTTTCAGTTGTGTCCACCACCAAACCAATGCCCAGGCTTCCGGCCAGGTGCACCATAACTTCACAGAGGTGATCTTAGCATTTCCTGAGAATGTTCTCCAGGAGCAGTGAGACCCCCAACTTGGGCTGCACATCAGATGGTCCCATGCACCTCTTGCCTGGTGACAGCTGCCGATGGTGCTGGGCATCTGTGCACAAAGGTGGTCCCCCCACCCCAGGAGACAAGATCGACAGAGTCAGCAGGAGCTGGGGGTGGGAGAACAGCCTGCTCCCAGCTGCTGCTGACCTACCTCAGAGCCACTGGTGCTGCCGGCAGGAGAATTAGTTCCAATTTAAAACAGCAGATGGGTTTTGGGTGGTGAAGACAACGAACCAGATGAGAAAGCGGCATGAGCAGCCGACACTCAGCACGGATCCCGAGAGTGGTATGCTGGCACCAGGGCATCAGAAGCAGAGAACACGGGGCAGGTCCTACTGTTTTGGGAGAAACATGGGTGTGAAGGTCCCCCTGCCCACCCTCAGCCACCAGGAGCACCAGCCTGCAGTTCCACGGCCCTGCAATCTGGGCACAGCCAGCACTGCAGGGGGGACGCTGGCTCCCAGCTGCTCTTTCACAGTTTTCTGCCTCAAGCCGTCAATCTTTCTTGAAGTTAACAGACAGAGCGGCAGATTTACTCTTGAAGGAATCCCAGACCCAACGTGTTACACCGTCCACAGATGAAAACCCCAAAGACAGATGATTCCTTTTTTGTCTCAGTTTGATGTGACTCCCAGGCTCCACATTTAAACAAGACACGCTTGGGGTGCAAAGCCAAACTGAACCCCCCTCCCCTGATTAATGCCAATATTTTCTGTCACTTTTAGGGAGAAAACACCATGAAACAGTCTGAAATTCGGCCGTTCTTGTCTTTCTCTGGCCTGTTCAAATTGATCACAAATGGGGATTTATCCCTGGTCCTGTCCTTTCTTGCGGAGGGCCCGTGTGTCCCAGGCTGTATGTCTGTTGGTCCTCCCAGGGAAGCAGTTTGCTCCAGATTTTTGCCTCTGCGTGTGGCCAGGTCTGCTGTGATACATTCCTTGAGACGCTGCTAGACCTTCTCCCATGCCCTTGACACAGGCCTGGGGAGAGAAGATGGTGTGCTAAGGGAGAAGGAAATAAAAACAAAGAATTCCCAGAATCATACAATCAGCTGTCTGAACTTGTTTATATGTTTTGTTTGGAACCAGAGCAGGGGCAGGAGAGAGAATGGAAAGGAGGATGAGTGTGTCCAGGTGCAGGTAGATGGAGGCCATCCTGTCTGTTTGGCACCGTGCTTCCGCAGCGTGGAGTTTTCTCCCCACATCCAGGAGCGGCAGCGCTGTCAGCATTGCGATCCAGCTCCAGAATTCTTGCGGCATGCGTCCTGCTCCACCTACACGCAGGTGACTTCATTCCCCGGAGCCCGGAGCCTGCGGGCCAGCAGCTGTGATTACCCCAGCCTGCGTGGTCACAGTTCCACTGGGCTCCTCCACTCGGGACCGCTTGACCTCGGGCTCCCCGGTGGAAGAGGCAGAGGTGGAGGTGGTGCTGGCAGTGGCTGGGGTGGTGGTGGTGGTGACTGCTGATGCTACTGCTGCCGCTGGCTCCTCAGGCCCCACCTCACACACCCGGGTGACCACCACTGGAGTGGATGAACTAGCCTGGGCTGCAAGGAGCTGCAGGGGGCTGGTGAGGGCTAGGAGTAGAGGAAAAAGAGATTTACACTGGGAAATCAACCAGATACCCACTGGTTATTCTGAAATAGGTCAAAATCACTCTGTAAGAACTAAGAAGTGACAAAGAATCCAGCCCCCTGTCTAAAGTCAGTCAGCCTCACCTCGGGCAGGCCTTTCCTCATGGACTGTGACTCCTGTGAGCCGTCCCTTCCCTGACCCTGGCTCCCCTCTGCCAGAGGGGGTTCCGTCCCTGGTTTCCTTTAATTGCTGGATATGTGACAGCTTCGAGGCCCCTGATATGATTGCTTTTCGTGTCTGGAGCCCTCCAAATACCCTGCGGGCTCCCTCCCTTACCTGCTGCAGGAATACCAAGTGGCGCCTGCGCTGAGCCATCCCACATTAAATTGAAACCCATCCCATGAAAAACCCATGCCTGGTCCATGCTTTCCTTATGCCCACATGTGCTGTCTATTTCACTTCACTCTCTGATCTGAGACATGAAGATTTTGCTTTTTCTTAGTGTCATCAGTGCCTGGTGCACAGCAGCTCAACACACTGACTGGTATTACATTTTACGGAAGACCATTTTCATGTTGCACCAAGCCCAACTTAACTACAGAGCTAAAGAAGAGGGAGCTGAGGACGGTAGGGCCTCACCGTAAGCGCTGCCGGCTAAACTGTTAGTGGGGACGGCGTGCTTCCCATTCTGCGTGACGGCCCGGACTGGAAGATGGTGCTGCCCGATGGTCACTGGGGTGGCTGGTTGCAGAATGGTGACTGTGTGTCCGGGGACTCCTGGGGCCATCTGGCTGGCCACTGTCTGGATAACCCGGCTGGTGGCAGGGATGGTGGCGAATGCAATGGTGGTTTTCTCTTCCAAGCCTGCAGGACAGAAATGTATCACAACCACACTTGGCCTGTAGCAGCCATCCACTGCCATTAAGTCTGTTACCGGGGGCTAAGTGAACTGTGGTATTTTTTAAGCACTGACACTGGGAAAAAGCTTTGGTTCTCAAAAGAAAAATTCCCCCTGATGAAATATGTTTTGAAATAAGAATAAAAATGACTAACAGAACCTTAGAACAAATTATTTTAAACCTTGAACTTCAACAAACCCCAACTTATTTTTAAAAGATTTATTTTATTTATTTATACACACGAGAGCTGGGGTGTGTAGGCCAGAGGTGCTGGAGCTGAGAAGATTCGCTAGAGACAGAGTGGGGAGCAGAACAGGCAGATTGACTGAAATACACTGCTGAGGGGAGCAGTGGGAGAGACAGGAGAGGTCTGCCGTGCCATGTGGGTCAGCTCCCTGGCCGGGGATTGGATTCATGCTGCAGTGGCTGCAGATAGCTTGATAGCACTGAGACTTAACCCCTTGCGCCATCAGGGAGGTCCCAACAAACCCAAATTTAATCTGAGAAAGAAAATGCATCATTTGGAATGAAATAATTTGTGTTTGGAGCCTTAACTTAGCCTTCTTTCACCAAAAGCATTTGTCATTATGACAGAATTAAAATAAGACATTCTGCTGAGATCCTTTAACAGTGGCCAATAGCACGCAGGAGATGCTATTTGAAAGTACTCCTGTGAGGAAAGGCCTTTTATACCATGAGTTGCATATTGAATATTTACTCTATTCATTCCTTGGGATTTGGATTTCTAATTTAGGATTTTGTAACTATTTTTGACTTTAAGTCACTTCTAAGGACTCCTCCAGGCTCTAGAGGAATCATCTTCCTGATTCCAATTCTAGGAAGGCCCCACACCTAATTCAATGTCACCTTGAAGGCTCTGTGCATCCTAAGGCACATTACACAAGGAGAAACATGTTTCAGGGATAATTAGTGCTAATTTAGAAGGACATACTCCCCCAACAACAAGCAGCAGGGAGAGGCAGAGCCTGAGAACCATCAGTTTCAGAGACAGCCTGTGTCCCTGGCTTGGCTCTGAGGCCCTGAAGCCCAGGCTGATGCTCTACCTTCTAGGAGACCAATGACAGCTGACTAAGTCGCAGCCAGGTGAATGAAGGGCTACGTTACCTCTGGCCTCACTGCCCAGGTCCAACACGGCTGTGCCTGCTGCTTCGTGGGTGCCCCCTGCTGAAGCCTGGCTGGTGAGGATGTATCCGTTGGCAGAGCTGGCGGAGGTGGTGACCACCCTGAGCATGGTGACAGGTGGGGCCTGCTGCACCACGTGGATGGCGTGGCCAGAGGGCTGCTGAGCTGTCACTATTGAGGCAGGCATGTAGGCAACGGGCTTGGCCACTAAACTGGGAGGTCGGGGAGGCACAGCCATGATCACTGGCTGGGCACTGACGGGAGAGCCTGCACAGAGGAGCAAGGAAGGAGCACGTCAATGGTGACTCGGACATCTCCTTCTGGCACAGTTCTGAATTCTGCCACAGCCGTAAGAGAAAAAGCCTTCTTACCAGGTGCACTTTGGGAATAGCGATACTCTGGAACAGAAGCTAACTTTGACCCAAAGTCAGGGTCATGTGGAATGGGTGAGCCCTCCCGAGACAGGCACTCTGGAGTCTGCAGGCCACTAGAACGAGGGGACATTAGCCCAGGGTGAGTGGGTGAGGCTGGAGCACTCCTACACAGAAAAGGGAGAGAAATGGCCATGGTAGTAAGTAAATGTAATAAATGAAAAGAGTGTTTAACAAACATGAAACATATTACTGCCCATGCCCCACATGTCACCTCTGCCCAACCTTTCCTGAAGCCTCTCTGTCCTCATGAGGAATTTCCAACATGAACATTCCCACTGCCTCAACTTACCACCCAATAAATGTAGCACAAGCCTAACAGATAAAACCCCACCAAACAATGGCCTGCATCATTATGGCTTCCCCACCAGAGCTGCCATCCCACGTGGAGCATTTACTTCCTGAGAGGGACCAGTTAGTCCCCCACCAAAGTGACCTGTATGTTAAAAAACATACTTTTGTAGGACACCCAAAAACGTCCCCCTAGGACGAATCTAGCACTCAGAGGGCAATACAAGGTCTGGGAGCACTACAGTTCTCTGACATGGACAGTAAGCCACAGAAGCCCCTTCTTTAGTTACCATTCGCCCGGGCCCCAGTCTCCCTCCTCATCCATCCCTTCCTGGGCACAGCAGTGCTCCGTCGGGGAAGAGGGCGCGTACTGACTGGGTCCCTCAAACCTGTGGCACAGCCTGCTTCAAGGAAGGTGCTGTAAGCTGTAAGCACTTACACCCATCGCTGTCTTAGATGCTGTTCCTAGACGGGACCCATTTCAGCTTCTAAGAACGGATATGTTAGAGAGCAGCCAGCAGTCTGCTTCCTGACCTTGCTATTTCACACATTTATCAGTCCTGAGAGATTATCGTGACAAGAAAAGTGAAGGGTTTTACGTAGATGTCCTGGGAGGCCAGCCTCCAGCGGGCGCGAGCAGAGCAGAGGCTTACCGTGATGACAGAGGTCCAAAAGGGGTCCGGAAGCAGGAAACACCGCGCTGTCTCCGTTTTCGGAATGCCTGCTCCACAAGTTTGGCCTCTGAGGCAGGGTCGATTCGCCAAAAAGACCCCTTCCCAGGTTCCTCCTGAGAACGGGGGACTTTAATAAAGTAACGGTTCAAAGAGAGGTTGTGTCGGATAGAATTCTGCAGGCAAAGCACAGATATTCACCAATCGTTAACAAACCAATAGACTGATCCCAATGCACTCCAAATCCGAACACAACAGATGTAAAAGCTAGGGGAAAGACCCAGTGTTCATGCCAGGGAAGGTTTTTCATAGGTTGGCAAGTTAACTGTGTTTGAATGTGGAAGAGCAAGGCACTGTGACTGATTTCCCATCAAAATTCAACATAGTATCATTACCATTCTTTACAAAAAAGCAAAACAGAACGATAACCCATGGTCTAGGAATATGCCGAGACCAAACTTGTACTGGAAAAAAACCCAGCAAATGGGAAGTAACAGTTCCTATGGAGATAATATACACATACGACACATTATGCCTGCTGTAGACAAAGGTTTCGCGATCCTGTATGAGGACGAAACAATTTATACATGTAAGTAATGAATGCAGTGCCTTTCCAAATCAGCACAGTATTATAATGCACAGTTAGCACAGATATGTCATGATGCAAATATGCCAGCCTTTATGTTTCTGGTCCCCAAAATGGGAGACGACTTAGACTCACTGGCCTGGAGCCCACTTTAGATCCACCTCGGAATACAATGAAAGCCTCTCTGTTTATCTTTGTTGAAGAGGTCAGGTTTGAGTTTCCTGAGAGCCAGGTGTCTGGAGCTGGAGCCTCACCTGCCAGCCTTTGTCAGCCGTCCTGTAATATGGGTAATGCTTGGTGATGTGGGCATAGATGCCGCTTAGTGTTAGCTGCCTGTCCTGTGCGGAGGAGATGGCCTGCACAATCAGCTGAGCGTATGAGTACGGCGGCTTTGATTCATCCTAGGGAGGAAAAGCAACAGAAGTTTGCCTGAGAAACGTATCTGAGTCCTGTCTGCCCAGAGGTCACCTCCTGACAGAGCAACCCTCCCATAAGGACACGAGGCTCTCCGTGTCTGATTCAGTCCATCCCATGACCTCTACCTGTTTTATCCCCGCACCTGCACTAAATCAGGAATGGCGATTTCTGCCTCATGGGAAGGAAAAATGAGGTTATCATAATTTAATTCTGAAATGTCTCATCTCCTCTACAAGTTGATTTAAAAAGTTAATGAGACATAAAATTGTAAGGAAAGAACCTGCCATTTGTCTCACAAACTCCAATTAATGCTCGGAAGCTATTCTGCTAACAGTAGACAGGATGAGGAGAAGGGGTCCGAAGTGTGGAGCGGGAGTGAGTGTGCCCACAGCGCCTAGACTTGGCACATGCCCATGTGCACACGGTGCTATCTGGATAGGAAACAAGGCTGGCCAGAGGCCAGAGGCCCATGAAAATGGGCCATTTTCATGCCTCCCAGGCAACCGCGCTGTGGTCCCTGGGGCACCTGTGTGTGGCCCGGCTGCACCTACGCCTGATAACCTCAGGGGTCAAATGCACTAGGAGGGCTGAGACCTTGGGGCTGTCCCCTCCAGACGTGTCTGCCTGCTGCTCTGAGGCAGCCTTGGCGGCGAATTCTGCTGCCAACTGCAGGTCTGAGGTCACATTCTGGACAAAGCGGTAGCCGGAGGATCCAGCTCCCCGTGGACTGGCCGGGCAGGAGTTGGGAACACTGTGGAGAGAAGACATGCTGTAAGTTCATGGTCCTCAAAGGAGAATGTATGCAGGAAACAGGATCCCAGGACCTGGCTGGATGCCTCAGGGACAGAAGCCCGAGACTGCACCTCATTACCATGCTGCGCCAGCTCTTGGACAGAGGACAGACAGTGCAACTAAAGAGCAGCAGTGACAGAGTCAGACCAAGAGCCAGGGAGCAAACTCCATCTATTTGAGTGGCCATTTCTGCTCACTGGTATTGGGCCTGGTGGGCCCTGCGGGCAGGGGCAGGACTTCTGTCTAGTGCTCACTTGGCCACATGACGGTGCTGAGGAAAGGACAGGAAAGTCATGGATCCAGAGAATGCTCACAGCTGGTAGAAGGTGAGGTACCTGCTGGAATCCAACCTATTCCTGTGTTGGAGGGGGCTGGGGTGGCACACTGGCCTCCCCAGGGACCTGCCCTCATGGTCCTCTTGGGCCACAGCCACTGCTTCACTCGCAATGGCTCACGTTTGTTCATCTCTTCTAGGCTGCATGCAGTGCAATTCAAGTTGGAAACTGCAACCAAATCCAAGGGCTAGAAACATCTAGGCTCCTTCCTTGGAGCTGGTCCCATTTCAAACCCAATGCTCACCCTGCGCTCGCTTGTATCAGACCTGTGAGGGACTCAGCTCGACAGTGACAGACAGGCTTTGGCTAGTTAGCCAAAGTAGATTTTGGTATCAAACCACATCAACATTTTGATTCTGAAAACTATTTCTAAGACTGAATATTCAGAGAAAACCAAAGACAGCACTAAAAGTGGATAAAACACGGTAGAAGACTCTGTGCTGCACCGAGTGCCAGCCCACCTCCGGGGAAACACAGGTTCTCCTCTGCCTTGCTCCAGCCTCACCAGGACCAGGGGCCAGCTCTTCCAAGGTCACACCTCCCAGAACCATCAAGAAGATGCTCACACATGCGTGCTCCCTCCTATCTTGAAAAGATTTCTTTTGCCACTGGGTCATTCCCTGCTGTCCAAATACTAAAAATGCTCTCAAGTCCTGAGACACCAGCTCAGAGGCTACCACCTCTTTTGTGCCACTCTCCTGACACACTAGCCAGAAACTTCTTCCTCTGTGAGCCCCATAATAGTAATTACTGGTTCACATAGTTGTCCCCCTCAGACGGGGTGGAGGTGGGGGCCTATCTATAACACTTGAAGGTGCTCAAGAAATGTTATTGAAGGGAGGAAGGGATCAATGAAAAATAAAATACTGTAACTGAGAACAACTTGGCAACTGACGGTCAACTCAACTCCAGGTCATTATCACTTGTCAGTAATGAACCCATGTAAGTCAAATAGAATTTTAAGGGTTCTTATATAGGAATTCTTATTCTTTTGTCCACTAGGTTCCTCAAATATGGTAGAGCTAGGTAAGTCCTGTGAATGCAGAAACTTTAATCAACAACCATAAAGAAGCCTGTTGAAGGCAGGAAGCAATAAAAGCTGCCTTTGTGAATTTTATTCAGAACCAGATAAATACCCAAGCTTAAAGTAAGATGTGCAGAAGGAGGATCTTGGCAGTAACACATTCACAAACTCAATATCTGGTTTTAAGTGCATCCATGGGGCGCCAAGTGCCACAGGAGACAGCACGAAGCTGTGGTTCAATGGACAAGCCACCCTAATATGAGGGCTCTTTCTGAAGATTCTCTGCGCGGCATCTTGCCAAACAGCATGGCTGCTGGAGATGCTGCTGCTCAACAGCATCTAGTCCCAGACACTGCAACACCCTTCCAGACACAATGAAGTCGACCAAAATATCACGCCTCACTCTCCTGGTGACAGGTTAGGAAAGCCCCGCCAGCTGCGTGGCCCAGGGAGGGACGCATTCAGCTGGAAAAAACCTAATGTCCAGCCATGTGGCAAGTGGCTCTCCTTGACCCTAATGATGCTGACGGGTACCTTACCCTCACCAGAGATGACACCAGTAATCCCTGCCTGTAGGCACTTGGGCCACGCTACCCATATTCAGATCATTATTCTGTTAAAAAAAATAGAAAATTTGGGCCTCCCTGGTGGTGCAAGGAGTTAAGCACCGCACTGTGAAGCAATCCGCAGCCTCTGCAGCACGAGTTCGATCCCTGGCCGACCAGGGAGCAACCCACATGGCACAGCAGACCTCTCCTGTTTTGCCCGCTGCTTCCCTCAGCAGTGTACTTCGGTCCATCTCCCTATTCTGCTCCTCACTCTGTCTCTGGTGAATCCTCTCACCCCCTGCATCTCTGGCCTGTACCCCAGCTCTTGTATGCATAAACATTTTAAATTAATTAATCAATTAATTAATTATTTATACAAGCACTGGGTACAGTCAGAAGCGCGGTAGGATGAAAGAATTCAGCAGAGCCAGAGCGGGGAACAGAACAGGCAGAGGGGCACAGCAGGAGAGGTCTGTGCTCCATGTGGGACCCTCACCGGTGGACGGGGATCAAACCGGCACTGCAGAGGCTGCGGACAGCTTTGCAGCCCAGTGCTCAACCACTGTGCCACCAGGGGAGGCCTTGTGTGCATAAATAAATAAATCTTAAAAAAAAATAAAAAGAATAGAAAGTTTACATTAAAAAACAGGCTCAGCAGCAGGAGAAGAGTCAGGTAGCCTCTGTGCCTCCTTCCACGGTTTGGCCAACTCTGTGGACAAACCCTTTTTCAGAGGCTTCCTGGGGCAGTTCCAGCACATGTCCTACCAGCCTGGCCCAGCAGACCCTCTGAGTGGCCAGCTTCTCACCTACCATTCAGTAAGGTCTGTGCCTGGCACCCGAGCCCTGGTCCAAAGCTTCATCCACAGGGCAGGACAGAAGTGTCTGCAGGCTTGGGACAAGTTAGGGGCACAAACACTCAACTCACAGATAGGCCATGGGCTGGAATCTGGACCAGGGCTCCCGCCCCAGAGAGACTGACCAAGACTTCTGTGTCTAACACCAGGGCTTCATCCTGCTCTACCTAAAGCTTCCTGACAGGAAAACTGAGAAAACTTCCTACAGTGCATAGATAGGAATCTTTCTTGAGGAAATGGTGAGAACACCAGGGACCAGATGGGATGTCAGATTTAATGAGGAAATGAAGACCACTCCAGGGGTCCCCAAGGGCCCAGCACATGAGAAGTCTGAATTTGGGGATGGCCTTCCTGGTGTCATATGAAACAAATGCTATTCTTCCAGGTTTCAGATGAAAGTGGAAATGAAGAACGTGCACTGTGTTTCATTTATCACTGCATTCCCCCTTTTATGGAAAAACAATTTCTTTTTTTTTTTTTTTTTTTTTTTAAAATTTTTTTTTTTTTTTTTTATAGAGGCATGTTTTTATTTATTTATTTGTTTGTTTGTTCGTTCGTTTTGTTTATACATGCACTGGGTACAGTCAGAAGCGCGGGAGGGTGAGAGAATTCACCAGAGCCAGAGCGGGGAGCAGAACAGGCAGAAGGACCGAAGTACACTGCTGAGGGGAGCAGCGGGCGGCAGGAGAGGTCCGCGCGCCATGTGGGACCCTCCTCCGGTGGCCGGGGAGCAGCCGGGAATCGAACTGGCGCCGCAGAGGTCGCCGGCAGCTTTGCAACCCAGCGCTCAACCGCTGCGCCACCGGGGAGGCCCTGGAAAAACAATTTCTAAGTCACATTTCTGTTTTAGGCAAGAGACTCCAGATCCTGAGGACTACTTCTGGCACTGCTTGCCTGTCCTGCTAGCTGCACTCTGGGCTGGGATGCTCTCACCAGGCAGACCCCATGCCAACCCTCTGACAGCCCAGGTTTAGAAGGTCACCGCTTTGAGTGCCTAAGACACAGTTGTCAATCACACCACAGCCTATGTGTACAAAGAAGGAAAATAAATGAGCAGCCTGACAGGAAGGGGTATTTCCAGGTCTACGATGATGGCAGGAATTCAGGCTGAGAGAAATACATCTGACAGAGGTCCAAAGCCACTGCAGCTGGAGCTGCCACCAGCCTTTTCCAGGCTGCCCCACTGCCACCCTCTTGCCACCCCATCCCTGCTGGGCCCTAGATACCTGCTCAGACCCTGGCAGGCCTGGTTCTGCTCTGGGTGGTGAGCAGCCATCTGGCCATTCTCCTCCCATGCCAGCCTCCCGGAAAAGCAGGTCTTGAGGCTCCAGGCATTACAGTGGGACCCAGAGAGCCCAAGTGTGGAGGCAGTGCTGCCAATGACACAGCCCCCTCCTAGGTGTCACCTGGAGAAGCCAGAGGACCCTTCAGGGGACCGAGGACCATGAAAACAAGGCAAGGCAAGTTCTCACCTTGAGGCCAGGAGACTGGGGGTTTGGGGGAGGTGTCCTATGCTGCATGCCCTCCCCCCACCAAAGCAGCCTCCCTGAGCTCTTGTCCCATACCACCACCCTAGAGACCATCCAAGAGGCTTTGTGGTATTACAGTCTTTTTTCCCCCTAAGGTATCATTGAGATTATAATTAGATTATTTTTCAATTAAAAATATAATTAGTTCCTTGATGGGATGGCCATTGAGCTGAGACTTTTCAGGCAGAAGATCAGTTTTGATGACTACACAGAGGTAAAGTGGTAATTCTGTTTTTCATTTATGTCTCTTTAATTTCTTTTGAAAATCAGGACCTTTTTTAGTCTAGAAAATAAATGTCTCAATTAAAGTATATTGAATTTCTTATTCAAAACATTATTTTAATAAAATTAGAGGCTCGTTTTCCCCAGCCTTTGTGAGTGTCATACCTCACTGTCAGTATTAACAGCCAGCAGGCATACCTGTTGCTTGACACCATCTACGGCACAGTACAAAACAGAAAACCAAGAACACAGGCTCGGGGCGGCATCACAAGCCAGGCAGAAGCTAAGACTGGCAAACAAAACATGACTGGCATCCCCAAAGAGATTATGTACTATGAGGGAATGAAAATACTATTAACAGGCTATTTAACAAACAAGAAAATGCTCTCAAAAATTTAAAAAGTGGAGAAATGAAAGTTCAACAAAGGGTAGCAGGAAAGGCTGGAG